ACATAATATGGTTAGGAAACGACTGATACTCGCCTGCAACCGTGTGGGGATGACTATATCTCGAGGCTTCATTCTCGTCTGGCTCTGAAGGAGGATGTGATAGAGAAGTTGTTATCGAGCTCCCCAATGGTACTAGCACAGGGACATGCCTTGGATAATTCTGAGGTCCTTGCTCATTACTTACCAGAGATTGATTCTCTGAGTTTGACTCCTTTCTTGTTCCGTTGTTCTGACTCCCCTGTTCTTCCCACACATTTTAGTCTCATGAAAAGTACTAATCGTCTTAAGACCTCAAAATATCAATATGTATAGACTGGTTTTTACCTCTTCCCGCGAAGGCAAGAACTCCCGGAAAGTGCTTGTGTTTGATGTCTCTATAGAACTTTTGAGTGATTGATGAGTGAAACAATCTGAACAGTTCTCTTCCTGCAGATTCTCTTCTGGTTTTGATTCTTCATTGGTCATCTATAAAACAAAGCACACACAATCTATATCAGTTACATGAGGAGCAGTATAACACACTACAACAAGATGTCATTGACCATGAAAAATCACCTCAGAAAGCGAAACTTTTTCCGGTCCTACGAACTCTTTTCCATCATTCACATCCGTTTTTAGCATCGGAATAGTTCCACTTCCCATCTTTCTAGGATAAGGATTGTTTGGTTTTCGTTTAGGCCGCGGAGGAGGAATAGCTATGTCTAGAGCTTGACACATTGGTACACCTTTAGCTTCAGCTTCTTTCTCTACCTGAAAAAATGAGCGTAATCTTATTATTACACTCTAGTAGACTAACGCAAACGGACAATGAACCTATTCGGGATTAAAAGAAGCTACGAAGTTTACCTCTATGGCTCATCACAAGGAACAATAAAACATATATTAAGATGTTTTATTAGAGGACCCTAACCCGCTTTTGCCACTACCTCAGAACCGATAAGACTGTTCGAAAAGGCGGAATTTGGTCTCCCCTGACTTTCAAGAGAAACTACTAACATTTTTCTGAAGAGTGCATATAAGCATAAGCCTAACAAAATGATTACACTCTCTCTATCTCTACTTCTATTTCCTAAACTATCTTAACACTTATTGCTCATTACTAAAAGCAAGAAGCAGAAAACTTGCCTGTCTCAATAAGTCTTAACAATTAAGACAAATGATGATGAAATATATCACTTCAAATCAGTTACCTTGGAGAAAAATTTCTGTGCATGACTTCTAATCTGCACAGCAGTCTTTGTTGCTACATGCTCTGTCCAAATGAAGAAGAAAAAAAAGACCAAAAATCACTTTCAAGAAACAAATCAAGAAACAAAAAAAACCTCTGCAACACACAAGAAAACATAAACAAGAAAGATTAAAAAAATCAACCTTCAATCTTTTGCCAAGCTCTACCATAAAGCCTCAAGGCTTCAATGAATCTATTATGTTCTTCCTCACTCCATCGTTCACGTTGCTTTGTTATCGTATATGGCTTCCTCGTCTAAATTTTAATTTTAATTAACACACAAAAACTTAAAACTAAAATTCGCCAAATCTTTTTTTCATCACCTAACAAACACAACAACAACAACTAGTTAGTTACCTTAATAACCAGATCTTCTCCTGAAGAATTTGTCTCCATCACTAATCCCTGAGTAGCTACAACTTCAGATCTTCTTCGATTTTTTTTTTCACTAATGCACAAAAACACAATCGATTCAATAACATCCACTGAGAAATTAAGGCCAAAAAATCAAATCTTGAATTTAAGTACCTTAAAGAGATTATTCCATGGAAGAACAAAACTCAGTCTGGACTCGATGAAGATCCCATGGTTTTGTCGGAAGATTTATTGAAATCAGAATCTAGTAAGAAGATACACACGACAGAGAGTGTGTTTGGTTTTTGATCTGAATGAAACAGAAAAAGAAACCAGAAACTATGGAGATGGAGAAATCTCAGCCACTATTATTTTCTATTTTCCTCACAAAAATTTAATTTTAAAAATCTCAGATTTATTCGAGGCTACAAAAGAAAACTAGAACCATGAAACTGCCACATGTCGAAATATTAGTGTTAAAGGGGTAATACAGCTTTTAATGTAATTACATTCTTATCCATCTCAACCACAACTTGTTCACAACTATCTACGCATACTGGCCACGAATTCAGGACTACCTGAAAGGTTAAATTCGTCAATTCATTATTATATCTTGATACAGTGGGACCCATCTACATCTCTCCCACGAGTTTATCGACACGTGTCCACTAGAAGCATCATCTGTGGACCTTGGAATCTAGACAAGCTCTCGAACAATGCGAACGCGCGCATCGTGCGGTTTACTTCACGCGCTTACGTAATTCAACTGGGCCAAAAATCTTAAGGCCCATTTATTTATTTATTGGGCTTAAACCAAAAAAAAGACTAAAAATCTTTAAGCTGATCAGAGGAGGCTAAGGGAGAATTAAACATGAACATTTATACATTGATTTGAGTAGAAAAGTTCAGGAATTTTGCATTCACAAA